GGGCTGAATTGCACAAAACACATGATCGCACCGGCTAGTCTGGTGCGCGTTGCTATTTAATTATTTAAGGAAAATGATTTGACACTGACATCGAGACCTCCATCAGCGGATCCTCAGAAGGAATTGGAGCCGAAAACATTGGAACGACGCCTGTCGGAGAGTCGGCTCGAAGAACTACAGCAAACAAGTTCCACTGATAAAAAGCAACCCAAAGATGAGCAGGCTGCGCACAAAGTATCACTGCCAAACGGTATTTGCTTTTTTTTGATGAGCTTTTACATTTGTGCTGGTGAATATTTTAAGTGAACTTGGCTGTGTGTATTTATGTGTGTATATGTGTGCGCATTTGTGTGTATTTACACGTCTGTATGCGTGTGTGTGTGTGTGTGTGTATGTGTGTATGTATGTTCTTACTTTATTGCGACCAGTGCCTTCTGACTCAAATTCCAGAACTTAGTGGTGAAGTGAAGGACTAAAAATTCTCGGACCCTTATTTTGTTGATTTTCAAATCCTAATCCTATTGAACATTGTTTTTCTGCCTGTGCGTTAATTATTGCAGTGTTGTAATAATAATAGTAATGGTAATGATAGAAATAATAATAATGATGATAACGATAATAATAATGATAATAATAATGGCGATAATAATGATAGTGGTAACAATAATGACAGCAATAATAATTATGATAATAATGATGATAATAATAATATTTATGCATTGCAGCAGATTTGGAAGGCATTGCATCATCTTCGGGCCTGTCACATACGTCGGCATCTCTCCCAAATGTTCAGTGTTTTCCCACTGCGACAGCGGCCCCTCCTGTGGCAACAAGTTTTGCAACTGCTTGTGTCACGTTAGCCGCAGGAGCGAGCATGCCCACGTCTTTTAGTTCACCTCATTTCATACCTCCGCAAAATGCTCAGACATCGTTCGCTCACTATCGTACGCTGCCCTTGGGTAACATCATTCCTCAGCCGAGTCTTTTTCCACCTCATCTTAGCAGCGTTTTTCCACCATTTCCACCACCAGCAGCAGCAGTTGTAGCAACAGCAGCACCTCCACCTCCTCCGCCACCTCCACCGCCACCACCGCCAATACGACCACCACCAGCAGCGACTGATTGGCCGAATACGCCACCATTGCCGCCACCGCCACCTCCAGGTTTGCTTAAACTTTGCAAAAATGCTTAATTAAAATGTTTCCTCGTTTATATGGTTTGTTTGGGCAGTTTTAACACATGTATTTAAGAGCATCCAATTTTGTTGGTATGTTAAATAAAACCATCCGAACAAGCAACATGGGTACTTGAAGTCAGATTGATGGTACTGAAGCATTCGTGCTTATGTATATGTAGTGTACATACATATATACATACATACATACATACATACATACATACATACATACATACATACATACA